TCCTATAGCGTGCCTGTCTTCACCTTATGGTGAAGGTTTCTTACAGGAAGCATGATTTTGCTGAGCTATGAGGTTGCCTTGGCTTGGTAAATGTAACAAGCGTTGTCTTCAAAGGCAGTGAAGCTGTAGCAAAGCTAGCGGGAAAAGCTAGTTTCTTCCCAGAACGCTGCCTGATAAAATAGTAGCAGGTAAAGGCACTTGCAGTTGGCTTTTCTGTGCAGTCTTTGTGCAGAGCTTTTGGTACTTTTGGTAGGGATTGATTTCTGTGAAGGAAGGAGGAATGAGGGAAAAAATAGTGCAGCTTGTCTGAACGGCTGCTTCATTGCCGGCAGGGTTTGAGTCTTCATGCTAGAGCAGGTCTTTACTATAGTTTATAAACAAAGAAGATGAGCTGTCTGTAAGGAAAGCTTCATCAGAAGTAAGGCTAATTTTGCTAAATTTGGTACTCTGCTGCAACTGAGAGATGATTTGGCAGTATTTACATCCCAGCTGCGTGCCAGTGTGTTAACGCAGGCCATCACGGTCTTTTCAGCTGTACTGCTGGACTGCAGGTGATGTGCCTGGGTGGTACCGAGACCCTGGGTGAACCAGCTCTGCCAGCTGTTGAAGCTCAGAGGATGTGACAGAATGGAAACCATCTTTGTAGTGGACCCCGACCATCAAAGGTGTGATGTGCTGCTGATACAAAGTGTCCTTTTCATGCCAGTGCAACTACCTGGAGCAGCCCAGTGAGCAGCGAATGTCTTAACCAGGGTGTTAGCACATCCCACTTGCCCTGTGTGTGCTTTTCTGTGGCTCAGGGTGTAAGTGGAGGAGGTTTGTAGTTGTGCAGCTTTCTAAAACCTGGATCAGGGTAGTGAGCTGCCTGAGAGCATTTGCAACATGCACTGAAAATAGGTGGTCAGGAGCACAAGTCGTAAGTTCTTGGGCTTGTTGCTGAAGCCTCAGTTTGCTTCATCTAAGGATGCGGTTGATTTTGGGGGGAGAAGCCGGAGGGTTCCCTTGTGCACGTGGATGCTTTTTTAACTGTGTTTTTCTGCTTTAGGCCTCATCACGCGGGCAGATGTTTTGCTGCACGTAGCCTTCTGACCAGCAGTGGCATCTCAAGAAACCCTGATGTCTGTCAGCAGCACTGGTGAGCAGCTGGGAATTTCCGTGTGTCCTGCAGCCTGCTGAGCCCCAGTACTGGCAGCTGGGTACCCTGGACTTTCTGCCACTGTCTCCAGTTCACCACAGAATGGCTTGGCCATTCCCCATAGCCAACCTGACCTGCATCACACAGCATCCCTATTCAAGTTACGTTTTCAGTGAGACTCCTTGCAGAGTGATCATTTCCTGGGAGGACAGTGCGATGATGGAGGTAAAGTGTCCCCCCATGAACAGAAGGCTTCTGGGCCTCCACAGGGGCAGTGCCTTGGAGGACACCTTTCAGACCGGGGAGAGGAGTAGCGTCTAAAATTCTCCCACTGGCATGTGCTATCCAGGGAGAGAGGCTAGGACACAAAATACAGAATTTCAAGAGTAATTCTCTGTTCATGGCCATGAGGTGTACCAGTCAAACTGTGGGGCATCCTGAGCGTGGTTTTACAGAATCATAGAATTGTTAGGGTGGGAAGCGAGCTCTGGAGATCTTCCAGTCCAACCCCTTGCCAAGGCAGGGCCACACAGAGCAAGTTCCACAGGAATGTGTCTGGCTGGTTTTGGAATGTCTCCGGAGAGGGGGACTCCACAGCCCCCCTGGGCACCCTGTTCCAGTGCTCTGACACCCTCACTGGAAAGAAGTTCTTCCTCGTGTTGAGATGAAACTTGTTGTGCTTTAGTTTATGGCCATTGCTCCTCATCCCGTCGCCGGGTAGCACTGAAAGGAGTCTGGCACCATCCTCTTGGCACCTGCCTTTCAGATATTTATATGCATTGATGACAATCCCTTCTCAGTCGCCTCATCTCTAGGCTAAACAGGCTGTGGTTCTTACACATGGTTCTTACACCTTTCAAGCGCTCAGTGGTTTGACCAGTGCCTGCTCAACACACACATATACTCCTGTTTTGCAAAGCAGCTCTAATTGTGTGGCGTTGTCCTCCATCTGCTGCTTTCTTGACCAAGACATCCCTGCAGCTGGTCTTGCTGCCGTACCTTCTCTGTGCTGCGAGGTGAGGGAAGGGTTAAACTGAGATGTCAGAGGGGCTGGGCTGCTGCTCTGTTCTGGGTAGTGCAGAGGTATCCTTTCTTCTTCAGAGTTGGGGCTGTTCTTCTCCCCCTTGCAGTGAGCTGGGGTTCTTCAGTTGTGCTGACTGAACCACAGCTATACAGCTTACAGTGTCAACTATATCTACCTGAAGAAAGTTCATCCAGCTTCATAGTCTGAAGACCAATTGCTATAATAGTTAGGGAAAGAGATTTTCCCGACAGTCCCTCCTTTTCTTGTGACCTTTAGGGTCACACTGTCCTATTCACTGTTCAAGGCGTAAGTTGTGTCCATAAGGTCACACAACACTGAGGACATACATCGTTACAAAGCAAAATGAGAGACATCAATTCAGCTCCTTTTAGTTCACAGTCCTCTATCTTTGTTGGGAGGCAGGAAGTTAGCCACCCAAATGGGTTTAGTGGAAATCCCTGCCTTACTTCATGTAATATTTTTAAATGAGGCTTTATCTTGTTCCTGTCAGTTTTGGTGTTCTGGTACTGATTCACATAAAACCCCAGTGGCTATTAGTCAATACTGCACATGCTCTGTCATGCACATTCTCTGTTCTGTACTTCTAAAAGGTGGTCTAGAGCTGATTGATTCCGTATTACCATTTGTGATAAGGATTTGGTTTCTTCCTGTAGGGCTATAATGCTGTTTGCGCTTTCAGGAATGGCTTTTTCTAATTGCCTTGACGTGTTTGCTATATAGCTTGTTCTAGTTTTGCAGCCCCTCACTGTGATACAAGAGCTGTTACAGAGAGGGGGAATTTAGAGCTACATTCTGCCAGAGGGCTGCAACACTTTTTCCTGTAGCTATCAGTAGTTAAGAGTGAGGGGATCAGAAGAGATACTGATTCTATCCTGGGCCTCTCCCAGTGCTGGTGGTTCATTTGCTACTTTTTAGTCCTTTCCTGCAGAGTTCAAGCAACTCTGGATGTGTGACACTGGGGAAGTCCATTGGTTGATGGCAATAAACATAAATGGTCATTGGCTGCTTTGACTGATGTCTGTGATTCTTTAAGATGCACTCAAGCACCTCGTTATGTCCCCTGCCTTTGCTGGCTCCGTGGCACGGAGAGCTGAGCACCACAGAGGGGCTGCATCCAGCCCAGGATGTTTCACCCTGGCTGGATGTTGACGGGAGGGTCACTGTAGTGACAGCGTGGGGATGACAGGGTGGTCGCTGTGTGAGGTCAGGCTGGGGTGACAGCAGGGACAGAAGCAGCTCCCGTCACACCTGGGCGGGTCCCCCTGCTTGGGTGGGGGAGCTTGGACCTGCCCTTGACACGAGCCTTTTGTCACAGTGCGCTGGGTCGCCTGGGTGCGCTGTGTTGTGGCAACTGGGGCAGAGGTGCTTGAGTCGCCGTAGAGGTTGGTCAGGCCTCGGAGTGCTGCATGCGGGAGAGGACACTGAGGCCAGCTAGGGCTTTGGGGAACTCTCCCCCCCTGGGCTTTGAGTAGGACTGGGGCAGGTGCCAACACACAGCACAGCTCATGTGCTGAGGGCCATAGCCTGGAGCTGTTTAGGTGGCAAAGCCAGAGCCTCACTACCCCACGATGGAGGCCTGAGGCTCTGTCAGCCGAGGCTGCCTGATGTGTCAGGGCCTGGCTGTGGCAGAGTGCTGCAGCCTCTGAACATTTGCCGAGCTAGACACGGTAGTGGAGCAGGCGCTGCCTGGCCCCGACCATGTCTTGCATCCACTACAAGTTCTTCTCCAAGCTGAACTATGATACGGTCACCTTCAGTGGCCTCAACATCTCCCTCTGCGACCTTAAGTGCAAGATCATGCGCAAGGAGAAGCTGAAGGCAGCCAACTGTGACCTGCAGATCAGCAATGCCCAGACCAAAGAAGGTACGTGTGCGCAGCATGCGCTGGGCTTTGGGGATGTCCTGGCTGGCGACGTTGCAGAGCACCCCATGATGGCCGCAGCCAGCAGAAGCTGCATTCTGCCTTTTATGGCTCATCCGCACATAGCACGAGTGAGCCTGGGGCCCATCCTGCCAGCTGGCAGGAGCACCAAGAGGGTAAGCAGTGCCAGGGATTAAGTGGGGTGGAGTCATGAAATCTGACTGAGCATCCTGCTGGCTACACCAGTTTGTCAAATGTGCACACTGAGCCACAATGTCCAGAAGAGAGCCCCGAGCTTTCTAAACCCCTGAGGGGAGACTAGGTGAAGCTAGATCTAGCCTTAGTCTCAGGCTTGGTCAATGGTTCATGTCTAATGGAATGTCAAAAAAGAAAATCAAGGTAGAATCCAGCTAAAATGATTTGCATGGAAACCAAAGATGAAAAAAGGAAGCCCTCCCACTGAGACACAATGTTCAGAGTGGACCCCCTGGCTTTCTAAACTCCTGATGGAGCCTAGGTGTGGCTGGATCTAGTCTTAGTGTCAGACTTGATCAAGCAAATGTAAAGCACTGAGCAGATGAGAAGTGTGGCTTTGGATGGATTAAGCTCCAAGAAACAGAGAAAGGTGGCAGGCTCTCTTCTGCATTCTTTCACTCTGGAGCACCAGCAGCAGAAGTGACTCAGTTAACAGTGGTGAAAGCAGTGGACCTGAGTTTTCATGCTTTCACTAATGCCTGGCTTGTTTCTGAGCAAGCTAGTCAGACTTTAGAACCTGCTTTATGCAGGTGAGACTTTGTGGTGGTTTGTTTTTCTCCAGAGATCTATTGGTTTTGTAGCCTAATAGAAGCAAAAGCAACCTCAGTTAGTTCAGGAAAGCCCCCCCTGTATTAGCAGGCTGTCCCGTAGTGACCTCTGAGACCCTTTTGCTGCTGGCATTCAAACTGTTTTTAAAAAAAGGTTTAGCTGCTGGTGTTTGGTTATCAAACCTGAAAATGTCTTGATAGGTACTGTTAGTGTGTTCAGACAATGAAAGCACGATGTTACATACGAAATTTGGCTTCTGTATCTGTAGAGGCCTTCTCTGGAGCACTGTGTAGTTAATTATGTATTAATACGTGTCCTTTTGAATGTCTTTTTCTGTACTTCTGTTGGTTTCAGAATACACAGAAGATGCCCTGATTCCTAAAAACTCATCGGTAATTGTCAAAAGAACCCCTGCTGGAGGAGTTAAAGCTACCGGCAAAACAGATGTTCCGTAAGTGTCCACACAGCATTGCATTCTTGGCTGTTGGTTTCAGTGCGTGAACTGTTGTGATGCATTTGAGGCCTTCAGATTGTATCTTTCTTGTTAAAGCTTCCGTTAGATTTTGTTGTCACTGAGTAGATTTTCATGTATCGGTCCCAAAGCAGACTTATGTTTTTAGGCCTGCTGGGATACGGGGTTCAAACTCCAACAATGGAAACTTTTAAAATGTTTCTATAGGGTTTGTTCTTGGGGTTAATTTTTATGAGAACCAAGTTGTAGATCCTGTTTTGTCTGCGTGGAGAGATTCCTTGTTATATGTGTTCGCTTTTATGGCTTTTATAGCGAAGAGAGTTCTGCAGTGCAGTGCAATTAAGACTTTTTTTTTGGTCACAGGGCTCCTCAGTCACACAAAACCCCTGGAGCAGCTTCTTTCAGGTGACATTCCTACTCCTATTCTTAGTCAATAAAGCGTATGTAACATGTCTAGTACTTTGGCACTTTCACAGCTAAGCATGGTAGATACCTGAACACAGTGCTTGGGCTTCCACAAAGAAACACTCTTCTAAAGACTAAGCTGCTGACAGTTTTGTTATTTCTTTGTCAGATGACTGATTTTTTTTTTTCACTGAAGTAAACTTGCCCTTTGAAGTGTTGGGACTATCACTGTTCCGCCATAGAAACTAAAGTACTGTATGTGACAGCTGTTTGTAATACTAGGGATGTACAGATTGCCTGAAGCTACGTTCATAGTGTGAGGGTTGATTATTTAAGAACACAAAGCTGTACTAGAGACTTGATATATTTGATACTGATGTGGCAGAGAAAATACCTGAGGACTTTCTCTTGCACTGTTGTGTTCTGTATCTGTAAGTCTGACTTTGTGACAAAGTAGAAATGGGATTTTGGAGGTTTTTTAGTTGCACTGAATGACCAAGAGATAAGAGTTTGTGTACACAAATAAATTTCCATATTCCCTAGACTATGGGAACATAATGTTTTGATGTTCAGGATTTATAATTGATTTTTGGTGCTTTCTGTTGGGTACAAGTGCTTTATTTTAAGTTCTGATCACCTTTCTGTCTCCTCCTAGAAGTCGAACGGAGCCAGCGAGCAGAACATCAGAAGCAGTATGTAAAGACCCGATCTAACCCGTTTTTCTACGCACTGCACTGAATTCTAAACAATGTAGCCTTGTATTAATTTTCCAAACATTAACTTCATCTGTCTTCCAGTAAAACACAGTCCAGAGTGTAATTCCAATGCACTGATTCATCATAGTGAAAACTGAGTCACGCCATCAATTTGCAGAGTTCTGATGTGAATGTTGGGATTTATGCCTAGTAATGCATGGTATTTCCTATTGCATATGCTAGGATATGTCCTGTGTGACTTTGTGTTGTGCAGACAGTGCCTGATCATCTTTAGTTCACGCAGGTTCCAGGTGTGCACAATTGAACTTGGTGCCACGTTCGAGATCTGTCTGCCTATAGTTAATAATGTTGTGAGTTTGTACAGCCTTTTCTGTGCTTTTTGTACAAACTGCACTTCAGCAGTAGTTCTCTGCAAACACTGCGGCCCATTCCTAACCAGCGGCCTGAGGACTTCACTGGGGCAAGCTACAGGCGTAGGCAGCTGGGAGGGAGGAGTATGTTTGCAATGGAGGAAGAAATGCCATGACTGTGCTTTGAATCCATGCTTTCATCGTCAGGAAAGATTGGGTTTGGTCTGATAGAAAGAAGAACAAAAATTCTCACACTTCCCAAACTGATTTGGAGAGTGTGTCCTGTGGTCTATTAAAATACAAGAAATATTTTTTCTCCATTTTTATAGGCTATTCTGTCATAGTAAACACCTTTTTTTTTTTTGTTTTTCCCAGTAATTTGAGCAGTTTCTTTTTTTCCTAGACAAATTGGCAGGTTACTTTTATGGCTGGTGGTTCAGATTGGTGTTTGGGTTTGGTGGGGTATGGTGAGTTTGGCATCTTTGCAGTTATTTGTCAAAGCATAACTGTATAAATGCATGTTTAAATGATGAGACATTAGCTGACCAATTTACAGACTACACTGCAAGTAAGTTTCCTGTAGTGATGCTTCCTTCTCAAATAAACTTCAGCATTTTTCACAAAGGCCCCTCTCTGAGGTACTCTGGAGCAGTAAGTCTATCTCCAGTGAGTTGGTTAGTTTAGTTTCGTCTCATTAGCCACATAGGCACTTTTCAGCTGTCACAGGTTTGGACTTTATTCTGAACAAATACAAATTACAGTAGGCTGGCAATGCCTCTTTCAGTGACACGCAGAGGATAGAGTGCAGATTTTCAGACTGCAGTAGAGGTTAACTCTTGCTATGTTTTGATTATAGAACTTGAATATGCGTTTATTTTTTTTGCTGAACAGGTGAATGATGAGCCTTCTGCATCTCTTTCTCTGGCCCAGCTTTTAAAGGTGTGTATATTTGTATTGTTGTAAAATACTTAAAAATAAGTGTTTCCTTCATATTTTTAAGCCTCACTTGCAGTCTATAGATGGATAAGTGTTGTAATGTGAACAAAACTTTAATTTTTAATAAAGTATTTAGTTTAACAGGTATGTCTAATTTGATACTGTGCTGTAAAGAGTACTTGCCAGTTTGGGAAGACAGAAGGGGAGTACCTTCTCAGCCTCAACATAACGTTGGAGCGTAACTCATCTTCAGGACATAAAGCAGCAGTACCTCAAAAGCTGTTTACTGTTTTTCCTATGTTTCATTAAGTTTGTGTTGGAATCTAACAGCATTTTTACAAAAGGATTTAATTGGCTGTGTGGTATGGACATTTCAGGGCAGTTTGCAACAGCTGAAGTAGAAGTGTTTCTGGACCTTGGACAAAGGCATGGCTGGTTTTGAATTTCTGGTCATTAGAGGCATAGAAACATTCTTTGAACACGGCACAGTCCCCTGAATTCCAGCCTCTGGACAGTGGAGAACGCAATCAAATTTGTTTGCGTGCAGACTGTGCCAACTCTGTAAATTGTGTACTTGATTGTTCAGAGGAATGTACCAGTGTGTATCTGCGGTGTGTTAGCAGATGTGACCAGCTGAAAATGTTGCAATGGCCTGTTTTGGGATGGAATTGCTTGCTCTTTTGGCTCAACACTGTGTAACTTTGGCAGGACACTAATGACTGCCCTTTGTGAAAAAGCGTAGCGCTAGCCAATTAAATGGAAAAGATGGGAGTTAGTTCTTTCTCCTAAGAAGAGAGGCAGGAGTTCATTTCTAAGAACGAGAGGTCTTCCCACCGGCAGCATCTTCCCTCTCTCGCTGAAGAAATGAAATCTGGGGCCTTCGGCTGTCCCTGCGTGTCTTGGTTCTGTAAACCCATGGGAAGTTTTACTCTCAAATGTGGAAAACTGTGGTGTGCACATTGAATCTTTTGAGAAACGCACAAACAACACATAAGGCAGCTCAAAACTGTTACTTGCTCGAAACACGTTATTCAGGCTGGCTTAGCACAGGGGCAGTGTGCTGTGAACTAGTTTCTATTTTATTATTACAGTGCAGTAAATGCCATAATTGAATTTTGGTCTATTGCTAGTAATGTTTTGTGGGGTTTGGATATGTTTTGTAAACTGTTTGGGTTTGAACAAATCAGTCAAACGTCTGCAAAGTTTCCTGTAAACGTTAATGGAAATGATTTCATAGATGTCCATCTGGATCGTATAACTGGTAAGAAAAAACTGTGTATGTGAACAAGCCACTTAATAAAATGCAGAAACTGGTTGATTGCTCTTGTGAACGAATGCGTGTAGAAGTGAAGATGTACGTGGTTGATCTGAAAGATGGGTGGTTGGAGGTCCGAATCATTTACAGGCACTCCCTTAGACCTTTCTTGTGTATGGACTAGTGTGTAATAAAAGCACCAGAAAAATCAGCTGGCTTCAAGATCTAGTTCTGCACGTGGGTGGTATTACAATACGTCCATTAAAAGGACACAGTCCCCTGGAAAAGCCTGCAGGTTGTGCTCTCTGTAGTTAAATTCCTTAGTAGGAAGAAGTTAGTAGGGGGTAAATGCAGTTTGGATTGCCCACAGGACACGGTGGTCACATTTCTACTGAAAAGAACCTTGTGTCTTGCTGAGGGATCAGAAAGATTCCTTTCAGTGCTTTTGTGTCTGATGCTGAGTTTCAGCAAGCAAAAACTACAGCCCTGCCACTAACACTGTGTGTTCTTTTTAGTGCTGCAGAATGTAAATACTATAACTTGCAGAAATCTTTCTCAGTTAAATGCACAGTAGCTATCTTCTCCTTCAAATGGGCTGGAGCTTCAAAACCCGTTGAAAACTACTGCTAGGTCATTTCTTTTACTGATCACTTCAGTCCACCTGGAAGAAAAGTGGATCGGTTACACAAGTCTATGTCAAGCCTAAGGTTTTGAGTGCCCAAGAATGCTCTTTTCAAGTAGGCTAGCGGGCACATAAGCATCCTGTAGAAGCACAAAGTCTCCCCAGCGCACGCTCAGGACAACTGTGTTTTATAGAAGCATCTGTTTTCAGGCAACATCAGCTAGCATTGTGGTGCCCTTTACAGGACCTGGCCACTATAGAAAGGGCTGCCCAAGAAACGGGGTAAGGTTTTGGGGACTTCCGGTGTTACTTTCTGACCTTGTTTAATTTCTGACCATGGCAGTCAAGTACCAAATACAGGAATAATCGTATTGAGAACTCTTGAGGGGAAATACAGAGGTTACATGGCAATGCTGAAAAGCCCTTCAAAGTTCAAGGGAAAGCCGGGATTATAAATGTATTTTTTTCTTTTTTCTAAGCCACAGGCCTGAACTAAGTCCATAGATCTTTTCACCTGTGAGTTTACATGCATATTTTTATGTATTTCAATATTACTGGAAATGTTTCTGGTTTAGCTCTTTTTAATGACAGTTCACGTTTTCAGGATTTTGCACGAAATCAAGATGCTTCTGTTGACCCCATCTACTGAATATTTGTGTGTTTTACTGACACAAGTCCCTGGTTGAGTATTCATGCCCTTTAACATTAGTCCCTGAATGTATACTCATGAGGTATGAATTCAAGCTTCATCTATAGCTGGTGAATAGATGTTTCTCCAGTGGCTGACCCAGAGCCCTGACTTAAGCTTTCCCTCTGAATTGTGCTTCTGGGGGGGAGGAGCGGGGGAGCAGGTTTGTATCTCTTCTCCCAGTGCATCATGAGGCAAGGGATGTTTCACCCTTAAGAAACCTGTTGTTAAGCCAAAGAATGTCGACTCAGATCAAAACTCTGCTGAAGCCTTTCACAGGCTCAGAGAACCAACTAGGTTGGAAGAGATGCATCAAGTCCAACTGATACTTCAGGACTGACAAATCCATCACGAACCATGTCACTAAGGGCCTCATCTATGTGTTCTTTTGAACACTTCAGGGACAGTGATTCCACCAGTTCCCTGAGAAGCTGACTTAGGAGCAATAGCTGTCTTAGGAACATCCTGGCCATGTTCATTTAGGAAAAGAAGTATTTCAGTTGAACAACCTTCACGCTGGGTAAAAGGAGAGGATTTAAAGGGTTTTGCTTCTTACAGTCATCACTGAACTGTCATTTTAAGTGTAGGTCTTAAGATGAGGTATGTCTGCATTTCTTTTCCTAACAGGACAAAAATGTCCAGTCTGTTCCCAGACTGAAAAGGAGCACAGGAATTCCAAGTAGTTTCATGATAGAGGCGAAAGATCCCAACACGAAGGGTGCGATGCTGACAAACACCGGCAAATATGCAATACCGGTTATTAATGCGTAAGTATGGAATTAATTGGACTGACCAAAAAGCGAATGAGAGAAAGCAGGCATAAACATCTGAGTGGCCATGCCACCAAGTTGGACTGCATCTGTAATTAAGGGAGAGGAAGCGCAGTCCTTGCATTTTAACCTTAAGACCTGTGACACTTACCCTCTAAAAAAGAGAGTGGTCATTCATACTTGTCATGCCCCTGGAAGCTGGTTCAGGTTGTGGTGCACCAGGGATCTGTATTTCTGCAAAACATTTTGGTAGTGTTGGCAGGGGACTCGTTCTCTTTGAGAGCTCATTTTGCTTCTGGTTTATGTTTCAAACGCTTCTTACAAAACTGTAACCAATAGCTGTTGGGTTGAGATTTCCTCCCCCTCCGAGTTTTTATTTTACAGAGTTATGGCTGTAGAAAAGTAGTTTCAGCTCAGTGCCTACACTTCAGAAGGCTAACGTGGAGTGAGAAGAATTCTGTCCAGTATCTTCCTTTGATAAAATGCAAAACTCGGAAAAGTATTCCTTTACCCATCTTTAAATTTGTTCTTTTTTCTTCCCCACACGCCCTCCAGGGAAGCTTATGCTAGAGGAAAGAGGGAAAGGCCTCCATTTTTACCAGAGGAGCCATCCTCCTCCTCTTCTGATGGTCCTATTCCGGATGAGCTGTTATGTCTCATTTGTAAAGATATAATGACTGATGCAGCTATTCTTCCCTGCTGTAGAAGCAGTTATTGTGACGAATGTAAGTGTTATTCCCATATTGTTAATTCAAAACATCACATCTCATCTTCTGAAAGCAAACATAGCAGATAACAAGATTACTTTGTTACCTGTTCTAATTAAAACCTAAGTATACCTTGACTAGGAAAGGACTCGTCTCGTATAAAGTAAAAAAAAACGAAAACACCAAAAAAGAAAAGGCAGAAAACCTGGTTCTCTTTCTACAGATCCAGTTACATCCTCTTTACATGCAGAGGAGTGCCTAACTGTGCAGGTGGTTACAGTATTAGGTATCAAATGTTTGTCCACAGCCCTTTCTCTCACACAAAATTATACAGCCATCTCTGGTGACTGACTGTGGTCTACAGCAAACGGATAGTAAGGCATTTAATCCACATTCTTCTCCACGGGAGAGCTGGTTCAAACCTTCAGAACTCAGAGCTACCAATGCTTGTTTTTGAGATGTGCTTTGTTCATTAACTTTGGGGTCCATGACTTCTTGCTGTAGTGGACAGTGGAGAAAGGATGAGTTGAATCATGAAGACACAGCCCACACTCCATCTTCAAATACTACAACAGTGAAATGTCAAAACTGTGGAACTATTTGCTGCATGCTAGTAATTTTTTACACTCTTGAATATTTGTAGCTTCATGCTGTACCCTCAAGACCACATTCACCAATGAATCATACACGTGTTTTGGTTAGAACCCAACAACTTTCCTTAGTTTGGCTAAAAACTATTGTATTGTGATTACACTAATTATGCACAGGTATTAGAACAGCATTGCTGGAGTCTGAGGAATTTACATGCCCAGCGTGTCATCAGACAGATGTTTCTCCTGATGCTTTAGTTGCCAACCAGAGCCTACGCCAGGTAGTGTGATGAGTTTTACATCAGTTGTACAAAGAGCTTGTAAGGAGCTGAGAGAGAAGACAATATTACTGTAACATTAATTTAGCCTTAAGCAAGGCTAAATTGAATAAGGCTAAATTTACTTTTCAAACACATTATCTCTGACAGCTCTTTAGAGACAATCTGACAAATTCAGGTCACGCTTCCGTTTAACACAACCACCTCACTTTCAAATTTGGTGTTAACACTGAAGTATTTTAAATACAGATACCCTGAGTTAACCCTCATTGACATCAGTGTTGAATGCGGTGTGTTTATATAGCTGTGGTCGAATGCTGTTAGGATTGATAGCATTTCCAGGAGTACACGAGTCATTTTACTCCGTGGAGGTTTTGTTGGTGTATCTGCTGAAGTTTCAGATTACCTTTATAAAATGTTCCTCTGCCTCTAGGCTGTGAACAACTTCAGAAATGGAGCTGGCTACACAAAAAGGCTCCGTAAGCAGATTCAGCAGCAGCAGCAGCCGCCGCCACCACCTGCAGCACCACTCACGACTGTTATCCCTCCTGCTGCTTTGGTGACTGCCGCTGAACTGCCTCCATCTTCCTCTCTGTCAATCCGCAGCTTGTTGGAAGAGAAGGTAAGCTTTATTTCCACATATGCGGTGACTCCAGGATTTCAGTAGAGCTTATTTTGCAGCTGTTTGCCTTTATTCACAAGGGCTCTCAAGTTCCTGTACGAAGACAGCTAGCGCTACCAAGTCTTCTGGGCTCCCAAGGGCAATCGGTACCCACAGCTGGTAAGTAATGATAGCTTTAGAACTTGTGTAAAAAAATTACCTTCAGATAAGCTGAATGGGTCTTTTTTCTTTTGCTTCTCCCCTCTCCAAAAGGTCATCCGAGGGCAGACAGTACCATCCACTCACCAGGTGCCAGAACAAGCTGTGAACTGTAAGTATGCTATAGAAATTCAATATGTAACTACTGGTAACCTAGGCTGTAACGTATGACTTAGACAACAGCTGATCCATAATCAAATAAGTGTGCACAGAGAGCTGCGGGGAATACAACTGGTAACTGATTTTTGAATGGCTCAGTAATAATTCCACATCCTCTTTTTCCTACCTCCATCTAACACACCTCTTATCAATACTACACGCAGAACATCAGCTCTTGAGCAGTTTGTTATTAACAAAAAACACTCTCTAAGGCTCAATGTGGAGTTTCAGAAAGCAGCTTTCTTTATTGCAGCGCTGGGCGCACACGCAAACAGTTCCGCAAAGGTGAGCGTGCCCGTTCCTTGCTGTCAGCAGCTCTGTATTCAGCATACTCATGCATATTTACAGTCTTTCCAGGAGAGCATTTCCATACTCACGAGATTCCCAGGAGCTAATTATAATATCTGCATCTCAATTACACATGCGCTTTCTTGCGGAGTGGGGGTCTCTGATGGTCGCCCACAGTCTGCCTTACTGTGTTTACTGAGTGACATTTTTGCTTGCGCATGCTCGCAAGGTCCTAGTGCTGAGTTAGCAGAGGTACGGCTTTGCTTTCTTTGCGTTCCGGTCTCTGTTATCCTGAAGGTCTGCATCCTTGGTCTTACTTACTGCCTCCTTAGTTGTTACCATTCCCTTGATGTTCCTTCCCCCATCAGCTGGACATTCCTTATTCCCTGCGTGTCAGTAAGAACAGTTTGCTCTATTTTACTGTGTTAGTTTAAAGTCATACACTTTATTGTTAGTTTAAACCTATAATTGAAACCTACATAATGGCTTGAGTAATACTGCTGGAGGCTATGTTTAGCTCTTCAATTTGCAGTAGCATTAAGTTAGCAGCTAAAAGAGAAGAAAGCCCAAAACCAAGTTTGGGAGGAAAAAAATTAGCAAGAATGACTGTTTTGAATTAACTTCCATTTGTGTGTGTGTGTTGTGGGTTTTTTAAGATCCCAGCCTCACTGTCGTACTTCATTTTACTTTAGGAGTTCGCATACCTACTCCAAGCCAAGATCAGGTCCTTCCTGCACTGGCTGCTACTCTGGCTCACGCAGTTGTTCCCATTCACATTCCAACTTGCCATCACCACAGTATCCAAGAAGAAGCAGGAGGAAGAGTCGTGACTATTCCAGGAGAAGGTCACATGGTCGTCACTGTTCAAGGTCAAGGTCCCCCCAGCAAAGAAGACACCACTGATGGTCAAGGACCTGCCCCAGCCCTCTCCCCATCCCTGTTTCTTGTTCCATTCATTAAAAGGTCTGGGTGTTTGCTTCACAGCACCTCTCTGCCTGCAGTCATTTGCACAGCGGGAAGTGGGTAGGGGCTTAATGCAGCCCCTGGCACCCTGCAGGTGACTGAGCTGGGATGGGGATGGCCGCTGAGAGGATGGGTAGTTGGGGCATTGCTCCGGGTGCTGTGAAGCCATGGGGGAAGCCATATTGATTAGTATCAATGCCAGGAGGATAGAGACCTCCATCGCTGCCCCAGGACCAGCATCACTGCAGCGGGCTGGATCCAGCCCTGGGAAGGAACCATGGCTGCCCCAGGCGCTAGGCTGAGACTGGCTGAGCATGGGAAACTCAGCTCACACCTGGCTGGTGAGTGGGAATTGCTGGCTGGGGCTCACACAGCGATTTTCCAGAGCTGGCGCTGCAGTGGCTGCCCAGCTTGCTCCATCCTTCTGTGGCCTCATCCAACGCTGCCTTGGCGTCCGCCAGCAAAAGCCCCGGCCCACAGGTGAGCCCCAAGCCTGTGTCACAAAAAAATCAAGCTGACCCATGAAGACCAAGGCAAGAGGCTAAAATGCAAAGGGTAGAATTAGAAGAACAAATATTTTTTCATGTGCATGTCATGCCCCTGCTCCATTGGAGCACACAAATGTGCCTCTACAGAGGGTCCTTATGCCCTTCAATCATTCAGGTACAAGACGACTTGCCTAATCACCAGCACCCACACTGCAAATTACTAATCCCTGTAAACCTTGCAAAGCAACTCCAGGTTTTCAGCATTCTCACTGCTTGCCTACTGATCCCTGGAGTCAGTCTTTCCTGAATTATTGACCTGTGATGCCAAAAAATGTTGGGAGGGGTTCCAAGATGTGTCTCAGGGGCTAGGATCAGACTTGTTCGTAAGGAAATCTTAAACTGGTGAAGATCTTTGTGAAGAGGAAAGGTGCTAATGAGCATGTGCAAAATAATGTGAAATAGGAAGTAACTCTCTTCCAGCCAATACCAGTACATCCAGTTCCAACCCCCTGCCACGGGTAAAGACACATTCTACTAGGCCACATACAGGGGAAGCTCCATTAGGAAATGGAAATGTTGGAGCGAGGATGGAGGAGGCCACGGAGCTGCTGCGAGGGCTGGAGCAGCTCTGCTCTGGAGCCAGGCTGAGAGAGCTGGGCTGGGGCAGCCTGGAGAAGAGAAGGCTCCTGAAGGGGAGACCTTAGAGCAGCTCCAGTGCCTAAAGGGGCTGCAGGAAACCTGGAGAGGGGCTTGGGACAAGGGATGTAGGGACAGGACAAGGGGAATGGCTTGAACCTGCCCGAGGGGAGACTGAGCTGAGCTCTTAGGCAGAAGCTCTTCCCTGTGAGGGTGCTGAGGCGCTGGCACAGGGTGCCCAGAGAAGCTGTGGCTGCCCCATCCCTGGCAGTGCTCAAGGCCAGGTTGGACACAGGGGCTTGGAACAAGCTGCTCCAGTGGAAGGGCTCCCTGCCCGTGGCAGGGGTTGGAGCTGGATGAGCTTTAAGGTCCCTTCTCAGCAAACCGATCCTGCGATCAGCACAGAACAGGTCTCCACGTAAGCTGTGTTTGCAGCTGGGCTCTGCTGTGCTCTTGTTTGAAAGCAGCCATGGCAAGTCTGCCGCTGCTGGGGGTGCCTGTTCAAGCCTGTGCTTCTTACTGGGGTTGCTGTCCCCAGGCCTTTTGAGGGTGGGAAAACAGAACAGGGCTATATGCATGTCACTTCAGGTTGCGGCTTATGTTGGATGTAGAGTAAAAAAAATCCTTGCTGAGAAACTTGTTAATAAACCTGTGATCCTGGGAAATGAGGAAGTTTGGAAGCCCAGCTCATTTTTACTTTCTGCAAGCTTAGGCCCGTGGCAAATCCATGCAGTAATTTTCATTTCTGTTTCTCAGTGCTGTAATGTTTGCTTTGGGAAGAGGGCTGGGACCACTGGGCTGAAAACCCGGCTTCAGCAGCTCCTATGTGGTTACTTTAAGAGAAATCATCATAAACCCATCCCCTGTTTGGGCTTTAGCAGGCTGGGCCATTCTTGCCCTGGGTGACTTTACAAAACTAAGCCCAGAATTGCATTTTCTTCCTGGAGCTGACAGGACCTGGGAGCCCTGAGCAGGCCGGCTCTGCTGGAGAAGAAGTTGATGTGTGAGACCAGACCAGATGTTTGGAAGCTGCCCCTAAACTAAAGGGTTGAGTCTGGGCAGCATTAACTGCTGCTCTGATGCTGTAAACACGGGCAGCACCCAGTGTCCTGTGTTGAGAAACACTTCTTGAGAAAGATTGAGGGGCAGAAAAATACCAAGGAAAATGAGCAAGTCCGATCAGAGTTAATGAGTAAAAGGACAATTAGCTTGTAATGGGAAATGGAGCTGGTGGTGGTGGTGGTACCGGCCCAGCCTGGCTGGCCTGGGGCTCTGGAATAATAGGCACCACAAGGTGGCGAAAGCCCCACTCGCTTCATTTTCCTCTTTAATTTGGCTTTAAACAAAGGACACGGATGAAAGAATCCCAGGACCCTCTGCCACTTGGGAGAGGAACCCCCTCCCAGTGCCCTGCCTTGCTGAGAAGCTGCAGAAACCCTGGGTTGCTGTTTTATTTTACACTTGATTTGTTTTTGTTCCCTTGCATTCCTCCAAGAGAGGCGTTGCCTTGTCTGAATCCAGACATGGAAAAGGATTGATTTTATTTATTCATTTTTAATCAGAGTTGAAAGGGGAACAACAGCCCTGGAGCTCCTGGGTCATGGCAGTGCCCCGGCTGCTGGCAAGGATGTTGATTCCAGCTGGGACAAGCCTTAGAAAAACTGGGGACAACAAAAATACCTGGGAAATGAGAAAAAGAGAGGACCCGCAGGGTTTTTTATTGACAGGCTTCCTTCAGGATGGGTGCCTGATGGGGCAGGATGGTGCTGAGTGTCAGTGGCCGGCAGCGGGAGCTGCTGTGGTTCTTGGAGGGATTTCACAGCCTTTTTATCTTGTTTTCACAGCAAATTCTGCTGCAGCAGGGGACAAACAACAGGTTGCTCCAGGCGGCTTCTTGGCACAGCACCCATGAGCAGGAGAGCTTCCCCTGTGCGCAGCTGCAGAGCAATGCAGATGGTGAATAAATGCTTTTTCCTACTCTGGGTATTTCCTATAACTAAAAAGAAATAAGAAACAGGAAATCAGAGAGAGGCAGCTGCAGTGATGTACCCTCAAAACCAGCTCTGGTAGAGCGGGTGCTGGGCCTGCTCCTGTGAAAGGGCTGTGCTGGCCAGGTGCACGGTGAGCACTGATTCTGCGCAGCTCAGGCTTGCCCCATTGACCTTGCAGATGGGCAGTACTGCCATTGATTAGGTACTAAGTGAATTGCAGAGCATAGAGGCACAGAAATGATCAGAGGGCTGGAAAACCTCTCTTGTGAGGAAAGGCTGAGAGAGTTGGGGTTGTTCAGCCTGAAGAAGACTCCAGGGAGACCTTATTAATCATAGAATAGTTATTGCAGCCTTTCCGTTCTTAAAGTGGGGCCGTAGGAAAGATGGTGAGAGACTTTCCAGCAGGGCCTGTTGTGATAGGACGAGGGGTGATGGTCTGACATTCCCATTTGTCTCAAGCCAACATCCCATCACCCGCAAAACCATCTGGTGATTTATGGACAAAAAGAACAAGTTTTCAGACGACAGTGAACAGCCAGGGCCAGGTTGGCTGCCCCATAACCGAGTGCCACCATGGGGGTGAAAACTGGGTACGATATAGCAGCCAAACTTTTAAACCTCACCGCTAAACCGAACCCAAACCTGTAATCCTAAACCTAACTCTACACCTAACCCTAAAACTCAACCTAAATGAAAACCTAATCCCTAAGTCTAACTTTATCCCAAACCCCTAAAACTATCCCTAACTCCTAAACTTAATCCTAACCAGAACTCTAAACATAACCCTAAGCCCTAAACCTAAACCTAACGCTAACCCAATCCCTGCCCTTAACCCAAACACTAAACATTGCACCTAAGCCTAACGCTAAAGCTACCCCTAACCAAAGCCCTACCCCCTAACCCAAACCCTAAGCCTAAACCTAACTCTAAACCCCCTAACCTTAACTCTAACACTAACCCTAAACTTAACCCCTAACCCTAATGCTAACCCTAACCCAAAATCGCTCATGTACTGGGACGAGCAGTTTGTAACCCACCTCTATCAGCTGCTGCAGGGGAGGAGTGGCCACTCAGCCAAGTCCCATGGAAACTCTTCCTTTATGCATTGGGACCTGCCTGAAACGTCAGGAGCCCATACACTACCCCTGGAGAACATCGTGGCCTCACCATCCTTGGTCACCCAGCCTCAGCTCTTCACAGTCCTCTGCCCTCACCCGTTTTCAGCGTGCACCTCTTCTGCCTGGGACATGAGTGCTCCTCAGCCCCCACCAAGCGCTGCTCCTCCCTTGCAGGACTCCTGCTGCTGCTCCCCGCCTGCAGCACATTTGGAAGCACAGCTCACATCGGCTGCGAGGGGACACTGAGGAGGAGGCATGGAGGTGTCTTGGCACTCCCAGAGACCCCTGCACCCCCGTGGGGCACCCAACCCTCTGGCTCCAGGCCCATGGCCTCCCCATCAGCTGAGCGAGCCCAGCAGGAGGCTGGGAGAGAGAAAAAGGATCTTTGGGAATCTCCAGACAAAGTTGCTGCTCGTCCCAAAAGGAAGATCCCAGGAGTGGCCAAGGGCACAGCCCTGCCTCTGTGCCTTGAGCACCTGCTCAGCTGCAACCTAGGGCAAGCTGGGCTCAGCTCCAGGGAGCTGCAGTGAGGGCAGGGCAAGCACAGGAGCTCAGAGCTGTGTCCCAAAAGTACCCTGGGCCTGTGCCCAGCAGGAGCGAGGGCCCTGCAGGCAGAGCAGCGTGCCATCAGCCTGGCTTTCCCTCGCTGGCACTTTCTGTGCTAACTGCTGCACTCCCAGCCTCTCCTGTGTGCTCAGCTCGGTGCTAACATGACCCATCTCTGAAGGAGAGCCCAGGCACTAAGTCCTGGGGAAAAAAGACATCTCCAGGGCCGTGAGAGCCTT